AATAGTAGGATTCGGAATGAATATTCCGTCCGTTTATCTGAATCTTGTCTGAATTTTGTTGCTTTGGTGTACGCTCTGCCGAAATATGTAGTTTTCCTATCGATTTGATTTTTTTCACGCTCGAAGGCCTGTGTACGCTTTAATAACATTGCATAGAGACGTGACTTTTCTTCTCCTGTTATCGAGTGACTCCATATCCTTTATCTTTGCCTCACTCTGAAAGTATTTGGATGCTCTAAGCTGATTTTTCTAGATATTTCTTTGTTGCAACATTCTGTATGGGTCAACATACCGCGCCATATTGCCTAATATAGTTAGCATAAGTGAGTATATGCTAGTTCTTTGGTTCATGTCTACTTTTTCAGTAATACGCATAACAAAATGTAGATTTCAGGGCTTTCTAAAACGAAATGACTTGATTTTCCAGCTCATTTTTACTGTCTAGCTGTATTCCTAATATTTGCAAGACTCTGCTCGAGTATAAATTATTGTTCATTTGTACACAAATTCATTGTAACTTCGGACCTACAAACGTGATGACTTTGCTCTTTGAATCTGTTTATTTCACATGCCGTTTTGTTTCTGCCCGATAGTATTGTCTAGTCTCCGCTGCAAAAATCCTCGTACTTTCTCTCGAATTGATAGATTCCATAGATTAAGCAGTCTCTGTCAAAGATTCGTACATTTGAAGCTAATTAGGTCGGCAAGTTCATTCACGAAGGCAGAACATGAGTGGTCCGAGTTACAGGCTTGCTTGTGGATTCTGACGTGACGTTCTAGAGGTTGATAAATATCCGATTTCGGAATTTTCTGTTTTTGTTTCGGAGTAGTTTCGTTCCACAAACTACCAACTACTATGTGGTCCTATACAGTATACTATAATTCTTTATACACGTCAAGATGGTGTGGAAAATCTAAAAGCTTTGGAAAAATCTTTACTATCTTGGTCGACACCTATTTCCATTCATCAACTACGTCGTAGGCTGTGGTGAGACTAGCTGATTCGCATGAGAAACCTTTTAATTTCTGAACCGTGCTGAACCGATAAATGCCATCCTGTCTCACCTTCTTTCTTATATATTGTTGAAATTAGATGTATCATAAGTTGCATTCGACTGATGTAAGGGCTTGCTGGCCTATAGTTACTAATTATTGATTGTGCCAACTTTTAAATAGGGAGTACTCGGAGGCCAGCTTCCACTTTCGTAGCAGTCGTTGTTTATTGACCATTAAGATACTATAATATAGGTAGATTGCTCTCGCGCTATTTAATGATGTCCGTGGAAATACCATCAGGACTCGTGATTTTTCTCTCTTCATTGTCTATTATTTTTTCCTCAAGTATTACTCATATAAAACTACATCTATTTACCAGAGTTGGTATTCTGAATACTGTTTAGTTTTTGCTTGAAAACCGAGCTGAGTATGCGTTAAGAGCCTGGCTTTTTTCCTGTGGGTCCGTATGGGCGAATTATTAATCGAACAACTGATGAATCTCGTTTTACTTCTTCCTTCTACGTAACGTATTTATAAATACTGACAATTAATTCTGCCTCGCATTCAATATGTTTTTAAATGACGTTCTGCATTTTCTTTTACTTCCTAATATTTTGAATAATTGAAATAAGGTATATATTTTCACTACCGGTGTATTTGTTAATGCTTCCTTGGTTTTTTCCTTTTCATCGTTAATATTTGCATTCTATATTTCGGAATGGTTACTATTTTAAATTTTACTGGGTACAAAGCTTGCTTCAGATTTTCTAAATAATATTTTTAACTCTCCACATAATTCATCGATTCCTCCTCCTATTCCTAAGAATCGCATATCGTTCTCTTAATAATTTTGAAACCTTGAACATTCCGCTTTTTGATTTCCTTACATAGAATACCGTGGTAATCTTTTACTTTGAAATATTTCACTGTAAAATGACTAAAACGGATTTAATGGTCTTATGCTTCTAAAACGTGGCACGACAGAAAAATATTTTCGGTCTAATAGGCAGATATCGAATGCATCCTGACCGTGTCGGCTGTTACTACATAGCTCACATCCGATGTCCTCAGGAACACGTCGGTTGACTAGTTTGTTGGACTTTCCTTCGCAACAAAGTTCCTTCCAATTTGGTTCTGGGAGATTTAGTCTCCAGCAATAACTACATAAGGTTATTTATATTTTTTGTTCTCTCGTAGAGAGCGCTAAATTTCCATAGATGTTGCTCGGTGGACGAATAGCATGCAATGAATTTTAAGATCTTCTGAACAGAAAATTTTACACCGTATTTCAAATTCTTTATCACAATTTGATTGTATTAAATGTGTTTTTCACAGCATATAAATACACCATGCCTCTATGTTTGCGATCTTCTTCACTAGAATCGAATGTAGTCTGAACGCATGTTGGTTTGTCTTTACCAAAGTTCGCCAGTTAAAGGCGCGCGAAAGCCAATCTGTTTCTATTATTGAATCAGGATCACATGACTTTGCATATTAGAATTGCAGATTCCGGATTCTTATTCATGATCTGACGACAGTTCCAGCTGCTCTATAACAATCTAACGAAGCCTGTCCTCACTGATGTAGGTTACGGGACCCTTGCATACATCTATATAGGAATAGGAAGGAACAATCGCGCGCGGTCCATGGCCCGTTTGCTAGGGATTGCTCCGGGATTCACCTGGTATCGAACGGACAAAAGACGAAAGATAGAGATTAGGGCAGCTGACTACTATAATTCTCCTCCTGATTTCGTTCTAGCGGTGTAGCTAGTGTCGAAAATCCTGTCGCCGTGGGGACTCGAACCGTAGAACCCCTCGGTCGGAGACGCTGCAGCGGCAACACGAGTTCTACTGAGCCATCGGACGACCCGCCTTTGATCAGATGCTCATAGTCACCATTGACACACGCCGCATACACAGACCCCACCACTGTATCTGTCCATCTTTCTGCTCCCATACGCACTTCATTCACCGCTGGACACTTCTCTCCGTCTTCATTCACCGCTCGCTTCTCTTCTACTCCCCCGCATCTCTCGATCACCACGTCCTCAATCGGTTTCACCCTCTCCACTTATGCATTTCTCCCCGCTCGTCTCGCGAACGCTGCATTGCGGCAACCCCACTCACCCCCAAGCTTTCATGATACACGAGCTCTCCAGTCCTCACCCAGCGCTGAATAGCACGGCACGTTGAGATACTTAGGTTCAACTCGGAAATTCAACGCGTACCAATTTACAATGCTGGCAACAACCACCTCGGACTTTCAAAACAACGGTAGTATTTCTCGTTCGGCACGCTTTGGCGAGTTACGTTCAGGCCCACAGTTGATGTGCCCTTTTAAGCCGTGACGTAGCTAGAGCCCTCCTGTCCCCGCACCAGCGGCTGTGGAATATCAAGAAAATTTATGCATGTAGTACCTAATCATTCTTTCTCAGTTTCTTTCTCTACCAGTATCTTCCATTTTCGTCCACCACTCAACATTCTTCGACTCCACTGTACCTATATCAACTACTCCATTTCTGCCACCATCCTCGTACCATTATCCTCGAACTAACCGCACAGGGATCTACACCCCCTCCCTTTCCTCTCTCCCAGGCATCCCATATATTTTCACGACTGACCTTTGAAAATATTTTACTGAACTGTATTAAACACGTCGTTACGATGTCTTCGACCTAAACTCCAAACATTTTCTCTAACAACTCTAAAAATATCCTCCTAAAACATAACACTTCCCAATACCGCTCATAATTCAACATGCAAAAAATAGACTTCTAGGGACTTTCTCATAAACGAGAAGTCGCAGCTTTCTACATATACATTTCCTATAATTTCTATGGTTCTCTTAACATCATCTGACTTATCACCTTTCTACATCGTTGCCCTCCCACCTACACATGTACTAAATCTAGACTTCCTGGTACATGTTAGTTTCCTAATCTGTTTAACCTGGACTATCCTTTCCATTTTCCCCACCTTCCCAGCCGATAGGTATCGGTGCGTAAAATACACGTTTTTCACAACTTTTCTCTCCCATAATTGTTGGATTGTAATATGATTGTGAGAATGTAATAGAATAGTAAAACCTATTTGATATGTTTTTGTCATTTAAGAATTTGTAGCCGGTTTTGACGAATGTTATTTGAGCGTTGCTGATAAAGAAGAATTTTGAGTTCAAATTTACAAAAACAGTCTGGGGTTTTAAAAATCATCTTAAGAAAGCATTTTAATATACTCAAAAATGCAATTAAAAACGCTTGAAACCTTGAAAATCGGATCTAGGACATCTTTATTTGGGCATTTCACTTTATTCTTACAAAAAAACTAAGAAACAGAATTGCAGCCAATTCTGAAACAATTTTGAATGTCTGTTGGACTTCCTAGGCCTATAATCCTTTCCTCAAAACAAACTGCCACTCAAATGACAAGGCAAACGCTCTTCCCAAATCCAGTTGCACCGCACGCAATTGGAAGTGCAAAGACCCGGCGCCTCTGGCATCAAAGCCTTTCTCAGCCGCGTAGTCACGGCCTTCTGAAACGCACTGGCGTAGCACTGCTTGGCAACGGTAATGGTGGAGGGGGCAGCGCACACCAGACAAAGGACGACCGTCTGCCAGCGCGCCCTCCCGCCCGCCGGTGGCGCAACCGCCGCTAAAAATAGCAACTGGGCCGCGCGGCGCGTTTCGATTGTTTCGGAGCGTATCAATGGAGCAATCCCGGTGCTGCGGCGTGGAGCCCGCCTCACACGCCATGTAGGCCTTATGCATGAGCGGGGCGTGTGAGTAGCGACTTTCATTAAATAGAGGTTGCACAACGAGACGGATGAATGTAAAAAAAAACTTACAGAAAAACGCAGTAGAGTTCGTCAGAGGAGAAGGCTACAGGGCTCACATCTGTGTAGTATATCATGTTGGGTTTTGGAATGTGTTACGTCGCGCACTACCGACCAACCTGACAGTTGGTAGTCTGTAGGCGACATCACAAATATTTATTTTTATGTAGGCTCCCGAAAAGCTAAGTTCTCGACTATTTTGAGGCAACGGTATTGGAGTGTGTACGATGGCAAGGTGAGTAAGAAACACTCAATTCCTTTGTAGAGAAAGTCTTTAATAAGGTAGAAAATTACAGTAAAGTGCAAAGTAAAAGTACGAGTATCACTTACGACCTAGCAGCTCCGTGTCATAAGCGACCTGCGGAGAGCTCTCATTTATACACTCAAGAGTGGCAGTGCTTGGTCGAACGCGCGTGCGGACACGTGAAGGGAAGGGAAGGGATGGAGTGAGATGTTTATTCATGAAACGCTCCACGCCGCCTGGGTGGCGAGGTGCCGCCACCCACTCTGCGCCTTCAGATTTGTGATACGTGTGCGTCCGTCAGTTATCGCCGGATGCTATTTTATATCTCAAAATTTTTTTAAGATCTCAGTTTTGGGTTTGTCTTTAAACAAAGCGCAAACCTGAGACTTTCGTGAAATTTAACTTTATAAAATTAAATATTTAAATAATAATTTTTGTTTATAGATTTGTGTGTATATTTTATATAATTATTTTTACCAAGAAATTAGGAAAAAATGAAAAGAATGTTCGTACTTTCTCGTCAAGGCTTTCCATGTTACAAAATGGCCTGTGTCAAAATATCTTTTTGAGGTTGTAATGAATCTTACCTGGTTTGATGCTGATATGCTCGTCGTTGTTTGCCCCGCTATTCAATGAAATGCTGAGGGGAACAAGTTTGGCAACATCGAGAGAACGCAGTGCAAATGTTCTCTGAGTTTTCAAGTTCTAGTTCGAATACTAAAATATATAATACTAAGGTGTGTAAAATTTACTTTCTTTTAATATTCATTTTACATAACTTGCACACGATTAACACTTTCTTTCAAGGAATATATTCTGTCGAGACAGCGAAATATTGCTTAGACAAATTGAGAGAGCATTAGCAGAAACTGCAACGATCATCGCCATTTTCATTGAAAGTTCTCATCAAATGAGAGATTTCTGGAAAAGAAACGATACAATTGCCAAAAATTGTTACTTTACCGAAAGGATCAATGAGAATTGAAGAGATTGTCATGGCTACCTCTCTCCAGGCAAATATAAATGTTTTCCTCATGAACTTTTCGCTAGTGGTCGCGTCTTGGTATTTGATGTTACATAGACTGCAAAAAGTAGCTGGGAATTGCCTGGTAGCGCCACTAATTGAACTTGGAATACGCTCAACACATATCACTTATCTTCTGTGCACGATGGCCACAAAATTGCTCGCGGCTCCTCTGATTTTCATGACAATGCGAGCTCGGTACGTCTAATGTCGAAAGAGTTGGATTTCGAGAAATCTGACAATGGGTGAATCATTTCTTCGCAGTCGCCCAGAAGATGATGCAATCTTTTAGTGGCTGTTCGAACTAACAGAAAGCAGTAAACAATCGATGTCAAAGATCTTTGTACGGAAGATATGAGTATTTGGTCAACTGAGAAGGGATTCGCGCGGCTTTTTTGAGCCCAACTAGAGCGAGAAGTTTAAATATATGATATTTTCTTCTGAAATGTCTTCAAAAAGTATCGAAAATGAGCTCTTTGAAGCACGGCGCTAAATTTGAATCAATGCGGCGGCCAACGTGCCAACATGTTCTAATTAATGTTTTGGCTTCGCGAACAGCAACAAAGGAATGAAATGAACATGTACCACACCATTTTGCTACATCTCTATGACTTTTCGTATGAATTTATTTATTTCTTCGTCATGTTCTTCATTCGTGAAGAAGGAAAACACTATATTTTGAATGTTTGTTGTGCACCAAAACCTAGTGGTCCCCGAAAGGGCTTTAGCCCTTTCGGGGACCACTAGGTTTTGCGACCTTTACAAAGGTGAATGTTCAGGGTCAAGGTCAGGCCAGCGGAGGCTTGCACGAATTCAGATAACAGAAATCCAGTACTTGCGGGTAAACGAATTTCCACAGCAAACTTGTGTGAAACTTTGAAGACAGTGCTTTCAGAGGAAATGAGAAGTATTTTAAGAAGTGTTATAATATTAGTAATTTATGGAGGTTCAAATAGTTAAAAAGCTCTTGAACATTCGATGTGTAAAGCTACATTAAGCAAAGTTGATTATTCGTGTCACGTAACAGTACACTGCGGGATAGTTATTTCCATATTTGTTGTAAAAAATTCCATATTTTTTTAATGGAAGTATAGGATTAAGAATTCATAAAAGTGAAGGATTTTACATTTTTTTATTACTCATGTGTTGTAATGTTCCTAAGAGGAAATTTGTTGTCATTGTGTAATGAATAAGCAATTTGTGACACAGATGTGGGTTCATCAGTTAATTGATTTCAGTTTTTGAATTTAGGAAAATAATTTCAGGCAACCAACATTTTCTTGTGAATATCAATTCTCGAAAATTCTTAAAATTTTAATTTTTACATTCCTATCAATAGTTTTAGTTTTTTCAGTTTTCTTTGATGAATTCTTCAGATTCTTGTTGTTTGCCTACCGTTTCTAAATTGAATATTTCCGTCTCTAGAATTCGTTTTATTTTATCCACTTTTCGACGTGGGTATGCTTTTTGACAGTTTCTTTTTTCTAATAAGGGTTTCACCTAACATTGTTAAACTTTCAGTGACATGTGATAATTTTACGGTCTTGGCCCTGCTTGACTCCGAGATCGACCACCATTATGTCTCAGTTCAATGATCCATTGCAAATTACTGTCTTCTTCTGAATTTCTACCTTGATGACTTGAGCTAGGTTTGCAGTAAAAAGTTTCATACGTTCCTTTAGAAGATTTACTCTCACTTATCAACAGTTTTGAAATTTCATATCTTCATCTGTTAGAGATGTGCAAGTTCGGCGTAATTTGTTTCCAAAACGGCATGCCCCACTTCTGAATGATACTTTATATTACACATCTAAAACTTTTACATTATGCTCTGCCATGATTTTCTAGATTGAAAGGAATGAAAAAATGAATCAAACTGTATCTTCTTGGTATTTGCCATCTTCGATTATTTTTTGTCAAACACTCTCCTGTACAAGAAAACACCTGCACGTATACTTACACACACGTAACGAGCGATGATGCGACTTGCACTGTGTTACTGTGAAAGAGGAACTGAACCGATCGCGACCGTCTTTCTCGTTCGGCAATAAAGACATTCTTTGAAGTAAGCGGACTCCAGTGTTTGTATTGCTTGGTCGACTTCCTGTCATTGGCTTGGGTGGATGACGTTCTGACAGACATCGATAACGGGTGTGGGCAGTGACACGCAAAACCTCAAAATCGAAAAATAATCTGCGAATTGTCGATAATTATTTTTTTAATGTAATTTATGAAACAAGTAATTTTTAAAATACGCATGAAGATGAAAGTCTAAACGATTTATTGCCGTCGAGTTTAAAACAAAAACACATCGAAATCATACTAAAAAAACGTATTTATGTAAAAAACAGTTAAAACTGTGTGTGACACGCTACGTGGATAAGTTAATTTGAAGTTACATTTATGTCCAGAAGCAAAACAACCGGCCATCTCAGCATATGCTTAAGGATCGGGGAAACTGGACGAAAACATGATCGAGATGGGGTCAATGACCCAGACTTGTTTTGAAAACAATATACGATTCAAAAACTAAAGTAGAAAAATATGCAATTTTTTGCAAACATTCGTTGAAAGATTGTTTCTTTATCTTTAGTTTGGGATCAAGTGTATATTATTACAAGCAAAAGATTTAGAGCTAAAAAGTATGAAATATCACTCAATTGGACAAAAATAAATATCTGTCGATAATTTTAAGTTCATTTGTTTGGCAACACAAATGATACGTGTCATTTATTTTTCACAGTAGATGGTGTAAAACATTATAGATTTGGGAACACTTAAGGTTTTTGTCTGTCCCGTTTTTCGTGGAATGACTCATAACGAAGTTATATATCAGACATTCTTGGCTAACTGGGATGAGCCGCGTCTCAGTCAATTGGGCTGACGTTTCCGCCTTCTTTCTGAGGCCTTCTTCAAAGCTATACTGAAGATAAAGGTGGCCGAAACGTCAGTGCAATTGAGCGTAGCTCTGAAGAAGGCCAAAGCAAGATGGACGAAACATCAGCCCAATTGACCGAGACGCAGCTCATCCCGGATAGCCAAGAAAGTATTGACTCCGGCTGCGGAAGCCTACGAAAGCTTATATATCAGACATTTGCCCCTGATTGGCGGGTAACCTATCATGCACTGATATTTGACGGGTATATAAGTTGCATCAGAACGTTTTTTACCCAGGGTTTTTTCAGCCCACAGGCGATTGCCCCATAAGTCCTTATGGGACGAATATTCGACCATACACTGTACACCAATTCTCTGGCGGGATCCTTTAACCCGGGGCCAGCAGAATGCGAGGCCCTGCATGACAACACATACACGAGAGACAAGGGACAATTATGCCCAAGGAGGGGCTCGAGCCCCCTACCCTTCGGACCGAAGTGCTGAGACGGTACACGCTCTTAGCCACTTCGGCAATTCAGGGGATCTGCCAAAAAACCGACGCTTGATGACGTTCATAACATTCAAGGGCAAAGAACTCATGTGTAACTTCTTTATATGAAAATTCTCGCTATCTGTTCGTTGAGAAAAAATGTTGATTTTTGACTCCTCTACTGTGTATAGTTCCCAAAAAGTTTATAATGTTTATTATTGAACACCTGTGTATATACTGTAATCTACATATTTAAAACACTGATGACTTTCGTTTAGAGAGACGTTTGAGCATTCTTCTCTACCAAACACGATTTTTTCCTTGAATGAAAAGTAGTGGCTCATATATATTATTGCTTGGTCTTATTAAGCAGGATTATCGTACAAGTACTAGATTGTAATGATATATTAAATTTATTGGAATAAATTATCATCTGCCATATTTTGTTCATTACGACAGTTTCAAGAAAAACTACTTTGGAGTTAGTGTTGCTCGTTTTGTTTTTTGGGATGTAATAGATATATTGGAAGCGAAGTGAAGATTTTAATGTGCAAAGATAAGTTTAAGATCGAAGATAAATTGTATGCTTGAAATAAATAT